CTCTTAACCTAATTAAGAAAATAGATCTATACTAGAAATATTTTTTTGGAGAATATCCAAGCTTCAAGGACTGCTACAAAAAGGCAGACCTAATGTTTTGAATGTGCATTAAGTTTATCTTGTACTGTATTCTGAAAACAATTCTTTATACATTGCATCATAATGCCCATTGTTTGCTTGCTACTGTATCTATTCTTAACATTCTTAGGCTGAGTCCAATCCTTGAGAGGCTCTGCAGCATTGAAAATCACCACTACACAGAAGTGTACTGATTAAAACACCGTTTCTTTATTTGGCACCAAGAGGGATTAAATGTTAAATGTTAAAGAAATTTGCCTTAGTCTTGATCAGTACTTATTTTAGCTACAGACAACTGTGCCCAGTTTGTAGCATAGTTTAACAGAGGTTTTACTTTTTATATAATGGAGAAAAAGTAAATTGGTACTGTAGCTGAAAATTGAAATGTAGGGTTGCTTTACAGCATGCACCAAATTATGTTATTCAAGCAATATTTTATGAAAAGAAAATCCTTTTAATCCTTAATTTGATAAAACACATAATGTAGAATGGTATGAAACTACAACAAAAATGAACAAACACTGGAGAATAGCATGAACACACACAGGTTTCTTTACTGTATGCTTTTCATTAATACTCTTTTAGATGCAGATGTTCTGATATGAAAGAAGATGTAATGACTGGAAAAAACAGGAAAGCAAAATCCTTGGCAACACCCTGATATCTATAATCAGTACCTCACAACACAACAATAAAACCCCACTCTGCAAAATTAAGCAGACACTCTAAAATGGACCTGCTGCACACAGTAGTTCAAGAATGAATAGAAAATGTACTGAAAAGATAAAAGTAAACAGACACTGCTGTACAAAATAGGAGTCCTGGAGACTGGCAATTCAGGACTGTAGTCCTGAAGTAGTCTTTAAGTATATTTAAATCATCAATGTGTTTTTTATACTTCAGTTCAATTACCTGATCCTGATGTAATACTGTACAAAATATACACGTGGTCTTTAGTGTTCCTGAGCAATTATGTAATTGCCTACAATGACGTAATTAAAAAATAAATGTTACTAATGGACTTTCAAAATGCAGATTATTACCTTTTCTTGTTAAAGCATATGTAAAAAATGTTATATTTTTGCAATTTATTTAAAGACCAGAAAATTGTACTACTTTGCATAGTGGATTTGTTGTGTAATATTTACTGTACATTTGCTTTGTAAAATTCAATTTACAAATCCTATTCATAAAGAAAATGTTCTTTCTGCCACTTCCAAACAATGTGCAGCTTCAGAAAGCTCTGTGGATATTACACATACATACTGTATATTGTAATTGTGGTAAGGAAGATAAAGTATGATTACTTTAGTTCAGGATTCTTTGTATTACTACATCTAATTCTCATATTTTAACATTTGCTTCAGGTAAAACTAGAAATGAAATGAGTTCTGAATCTTCAACACTTGCATGGAACTAAGAAACATTTCAGCATTTACAGTTACAATCACAACCGTTGTTGGTTAAGATTCAGCTTTCGATAATGTAGTATACTGTAAATATAGCTTGTTGTTTGTCATGAAATAACACATTGCAGCTGTTCAGGGCATATGCTCAAACACTGCAGATAGATGCAATTATCATGTATTTACAGCATTTTGCCAGGTTCCAGGAAATGTGAGAGATGTGAAAGTGAAACTAAACTGTTCTCTTCTTTCGTTTCCAAGAGCTTGTGCAGCACAGGTACACGCAGAAGGAGTCCTCTGCCCTTGCAGTGAACACATCTTGATTCTATGTTTTGATTGCCGCTGATTAAAGCCACCTAACATTAATGATGCCATTAACTGTAGCCAAACTTTCATTTAGAGACGTGTCTCTAAATGATATCTTGAAATGCTTCAGGGTATCTTTACCCCTGAGCACAAACTATACCAAGATGCAGAATGTATTATGTCATTTTATAAAAATTGTATGCTCCAAAAAAAATGCAGAATGTCACTCCGACAATTTTAAACATTTGAGCCCTCTCAGCCTGTAACCTCCTGAGCCTCGAATATATCCACAACAAGGACAGATACTTGCAGTGCCCATGGACACTTAAAGCCATAGACCCCTATAGCCAGTTTCCGCCTGGAATTTTCTCCCCTTAAATATTTTTTTATATCTCTGCAGCAGAACATAGCAGAAACCTGGTTCAGGTCTGAAATTGAAGCTAACCCCCTTGGCTTTGAGTGTGAACAGGAAAAATTCTTTTATCTCTTATTCTGCACAAATCTTCTCTCTTTATGTGTCAAAGTGCTTGTAGGCCTTGCCCTAGGTGTCTACTACCTTCAATCAGTCAATTTGAAAACATTCTACATATTTTTTTGTGAAGACTGGATCTGGAATGAAATTTCTCGCATCCCAAAAACATGTTTAAAAGTTATTGAAAGCCAATATAAATATGCAAAAGCCATTGCAGTTGCCATAAAAAGCCTTTAGGCACTGCTAGAGAGCTGTTTCTGCTGTTAGGCATTGAAAAAAACTTTAGAGTGGCCTGTAAAACAATGACCACTGATAAGAATCTGATTGACTACCCTTTCTGTGTCAATGATCCACAGTTGGAATGTAGGTAGATGACAGCCAGAGGCTCCCAGAGGAAGTCCTGTCCCCTAAGGGCTCTGAGAGGCTGAAAATACAATGAATGAGAGTGTTTTCCACCAATCAGACCAGGTTTTTTGAGGCGGTCAGTTTCAAAATTCAATTTTAATAGCCAATACTTTTCAGTTTCCTCCAACGCATAGAAGTGCATCATCAGATAAAAAGTGTTCTTGTGATTGATTGTCTTGGTGTGTTTTGGTGCTGAAAAGGGTTTTATGAAGCTCCAGTTGTCTATTTCTGATTGATAAAACGTTTTCTGTAAAGGTTTTTTGGTCTTGTTGGTGAAACTAGATGAAATGAGACATGTATCTTAAGTCAACGTTGACTTAGCTCGGACCCGCCGGCGGTTCCGTGGCGCACTATGGAGCATGTTACTGCTTCACTCACTGCTACAGTGGTTTTACAGGGGAAATGCAGCGCTGTTTTTATATTTCGGGGTTATAAAGAATCAGCGTCGACAAGTGCATTTCAAACCACAACAAAAGTAAAATGTATACAGTAACTTGTAAAACCTCCAGTTTACATCACAAAATAGATTAAATTTCCAGGTAGGTGCAGCACCATCTTCAATTTAGAACAACGCAACAAAACCTCCAGTGACATAGCTTTATTAACTTTCAAACAAGCAGGCTTGTAAATACATCTCTTTTAATCCAATGGAAATATTGATTTAGATTTTGAGGTAGTTTTACCAACAGATACGGCTTGTTAACTTTGCATGCAGATCATGTGAGAAGATTTCTGTGGTGCTTACTTATTCGCTGGTACATTGCATTGCATTACTCGTTACAGTGACTAGTGAGCGGGAAGGGCACTTCAAGTTGCAATTCTTGCAAACTCTCGCTCTTGGCCGTAGTGAGACCAGCGTGTCCGACAACATGGCGACTTACAGTACTTTCACAACATTTGTGACTTTCTGTCTAATTCAAAATTAGTAAAAGTTTTCTATAAAGTCAATGTTTATTTTGTTACTGGGATTTAATAACCGATCAGAGAATTTGGGACTGCAGTTGTGCTGTAAACATGTCAACATCCTACATGATCCTAACACTTGTGTAAGTGTCATGGCAGAAATGTAGGCAAACTTCTACTTGTGTGACATTCACAATGTCTCCTATTTCCAGTTCTAACTCTTAAAGTTCCCTTCTTAGTCCTGTGACTAAGTCCTTATTCAATTCCTCTATAGCCCCAGTGAGTTTGCAAGGCATTTATGCATGAATACCCATGATATTAACATGATACCTTCTTATAATGAATTCCAGATAACATAGCTTTTTGTCAGAGGTTCCAAACCTACATTTGGGATACACATCTCAATTACTCTTTAGTTTGGAAACACTTGCTCTCAGTAAGTAGAGAGCAGTTAATTAATGTAATGGCTTTAAATTCAATTTACATCTACTTTATCGGAAAATCTCATTTCTGTCATCTCCAAGAAAATTTGCATCTTAAGTAAACTCTTGTATCTCCGTGTTGAATACAACAACAATCTAAACTGTGCTCAAATTATCGGTCTCCTGTTACACTGCATCGACCTACTGTGTCATACAAGGCTAAACTAACAGCTATGGATATTCTGTCCATTATACACTTGGTGTCATATCACAGCTAGATTGTGTCACACTACCTAGAAGTACAAAACAACTACATGAATAGAAGATAGAGGACTATCAAGGTATAATTTAGTGGTATGGTGCTGTCCTTGTAATAATGGTGATAAAACATGTTAGGGTCTCTTACTTCAGGATCTAGAAGATAAACGGTAAAATCTGAAGTTGCCTGAAAAACACTGAATTACTTTGTAGGCCCTAAAATAACACACAAGCCTAATTACATACCCCTGATTTTCTTGGTATTTGCGATATATTAGGCAAGGTGACAGGCAGTATTTTATGAAATTTCTAAAGGAAAAGAAAAACTCAAAATAATGAACTTTATACAACGCATAAGCCTTATGACTTATGAGCCAGATTTTATATAAATAATCAGAGCTTCTACGGAAGAATAAATTATGAATGGATCACAGAAAAAAATAATTGCAATCTAGTCAATGGAACGTAGTCTATATACCGTAAATGTCTAACACAAAATCAAGTCTGCAGACTATTGTGATAGGCTGACAATGAAAAGACAACCAAAGTGAGAGCAAAAAATGAATATTTAAACGATGATATGACATATGATTCCATGCCAATAAAGATAAAACAGATCATTTTCAAAACAGGTGATAAAATTACATTAAAAAATGCCTGTTGCAATTGAAACACAAAGTGATTGATTAGTCAGGAAATTAGTACTCATGGAGGAAGAAACAATTGAAGAAAACATAAAGCAAGTATTACCTGTACTCTAGTGACATGCAGATACATAATACAAGAAACAAGGAAGCATATGCAGAATACCAAGAGGACAAGAACAATTGTGCTCCTAGAGAAAAGCACAGAGGGTGACACGTTAGTACATGGTAATTTTTAAGAAGGCAAAATTGTTATGAATGAACTGAGAAATAAAATTTTAACATCTGCGAATACATACTGTGGGATTATTAGAAGGTAAATGAGGCCAAATAAGGCAGCAAGGATCAGAGAAAGAACTACTGCACTGGTAAAATATTCATCATGAAGCTGATGGTACTGTATGGGGAAAGAAAAACAAAATAAAAACGCATCACATATTGTGCCTTTAACATGGAAATTTAAAAACATTTTAAACAATAAATATTGCACTTGCTGGTACTAGATGATTCATTCACTCAACTCTCATTGCAAAGTCTGGTTATATTTAGGAGGCATATCAATATATCTCCTAAAAATATTAAATAAACCGTCTTAATAAATAAACTCTGTATAAACCCCCTCCTCTAGGCAAGCCAGAAAGTCTCTCTTGTCAACATACACATGAAATGACCCAAATATTCTCATCCGTTCCTATTTTGATGAAATGTGGAGGCAGAAGACAAGTCTTTAGATTATTAGGCTGGCGTGGGTGGATGTCTCTGATCTGACACACGCTTTTTTTTCTGTGTCACAACTGCTTTTCTGCTTTCTAATGTATTAAAGAGAGATCAGATCAGACACATTAAAATAAAATTAAATTCTCGAACAGTATCCTAAAATGGAAGCGGGGAAGCTGTGTATCAAATATTCGAGAAAAGGCCTGAAAACAAAATACAATTTTTTATGCAAAGTCGCAGAACGTCTTCCCATGCATTGATATGTTATTAACAAGCTTGCTCCTGCAGTATTTAACTTGAATTGCTTTAGAAGTGCAGAAATCATACTTTTTTTGTTACTTGCAAAACTGGCCTGTTGGTAGTTCAGGAACTTTTCTATTTTATGCTCAAAAAGCTAATGTTCAGTTATCGTATTTAGCTATTTAATTTTTGCATTGCAAATTGCAGTATACTGGAACTCACATTTGTTTTGCTAAATTAAGAAGAAAAAGCATCTACAGTACTGTATGTATAATTTCTGTTCCTTTTGAAAGAAAAAAAATCATTATCAATTTATATTATAATAACTGTAACAGTTTAGTTAAAAAGAGTATCGTTGTGAAGGGCTTGCAAATGACACTATCAATACAAAATAGCTATTATCACTCAAGTGTCCATTAATTAAGCATTTGTACATGAGAAAAATCTGATTTGTTATTTAACAAATCCAATCAATCATAGCTAGTGATATTTGCTTGTTACATTCAGGATTAATGCATTTCAGGTTTGCTCAAATAGTGTTTGAATTTATGAAAATTGTCCTTACTGCCTTCCCATTGCCACTCACGGATATCTGTTTAATCTGTTCCATTGCATGGTATGGTACAGTAACTGTGAAAGTAAATAATAAAGTAAATCGCAGTTAATTAGAAACCCATCTTTATATACTTTTAAAAAAAAGAAAATTATTGACACTGTGTGCGCACATGGGAAAGCACTGTGTTGGGATGGACCAGATTGGCCATGAAGATGGCAAATGATTCTTTGTGATATATTGGTGAATAGTAAAGACACTGTATTATAATTAAATTGTTTCCAGTACAAAACAATCATTATAGTATATATTCCTTAACAAGGTGTCATCCATAAATTTATGCATCCCTGAATTTCATGCAACTCGTATTGTAATTCTTGCATCTTTTGTAAGAGGGTGGCATGTTCATGAGATTCTTGTTTAAACTACAGTACATTCCCCAGAGAGCAATGGGGAATTACATGTTATCCCTCATCAGGTGAACAATGAGAACACAGTTGATCAAGTGACATTTAAAAAAAACTGAAGCTGAGCCGTCAGCCTCTGCTTGCCAGGAAGTGAGCAGAGTCCCTTTGGGGGAGAGGAACAAGGAAGTGACTGAAGTAAGTCTGCAACATTCAATGGCCTTCACACAGGAAATGAGTCTGTCTCCATTGGCCACCCCCCTTACCTTGCTCCTGATTTAGCTTGTCAGGTAAACTGGTAACATACTGAACGATTTGCTTTTAGGTTAGCTGAATGGGGCATGATGTAATTCTGTTTGTTAAACAGGTCATTGATGTTCATTATTTTAAGGACAAATTAAATGAAAGGAAAAAAGTTTTTCATCTGAAATACAGGACGTCCAGGCTAACAGGATGTTGTTGGCAACCTTAGCGTGACCAAAGTAGGCATGATACTGTCGATGTGTTGTGAGTATTTTATTTGAGAGAGATTTTCTTCTGTGAAAGAGTCTCAGGAAAAGACTTTATTGTGAAGCCAGTAAACAGTTTAGCTGCCCATATGTTTAAGGTGGGGCAAGTGTACAAGATGAACAGCTGGATCACGGATAGACCAAGATTTTGTTTATGTGGTTGTTTTTTTTTTCCTATTTTGTTACGCTATAAACATAAAACCTGCTACGAATTTTACCTAATGGCTGTGAGCGTGTTTTACCAAGATCTGCCTAGTATAAAAAGATCCTGTTAAGGCACCCTGAAAGTGTCACACTTTAAAACATCAGGAAAGATACAGATCTATTCATCATGATCTTTTTCTTTGGTAGCATTCGCTCAGCAAAACACAGCGGTGCCTTCTTGTCGTTAAGCCGACGATGGCGATCATCTGAGAGAAGGGATGGCACCTGATTTCAAGGTTCACTTTAGCAAACATATAGTTCTGCTTTTAAATCTTTTTCAGAACCATTGTTACTGAACTGGTCTGATTATACATTGACTGCTCATTGAAAATATGTGATTTTGTCTTCTGTTTTGTCAACCCAATTTTTGAGTAATTTCATCTTTGTAATCTTTGAAAAGTAATGTTACACATCTTGTCACCATTCGAATGAACAACCATAGTGTAGCTGATTTACGACTGCTTGACATTGTTTTTTTATCCAAGGGAAAACTGAATCAGAAACAAATGCAGATTTCCTAATTTCCACTGGCTTGGGAAGGCAGTGAGTCACGAAATGAGCAAACCAGAGAACTATCTGTTGTATCAGGTCATTAAGCCCCTTTTAAAGCTCTGTAAATGTATTGCAGATTATAAAGAATACCAAACAAACTGTTAAAGGGAAATCCATCCGACTTAAAAGCTTGTGTGTCATAGTGGTAATTATTTCTGCACGTCTAAAACATAAACAATGAAAAAGGTAAGCCTGGCATTAAAACAATTTTAATATTAGATTTACAAACAGTGCTCATAATTCATTTGATCTAAACTACAGATTATTTCCTGCATAACATTTGAGTGCGTCTAAGAAAATCTGATGTTTTCAATGAAGATTAACACAAAACAATACTCGTACACAGCCAGACAGAGAAAGAATGAACAATTTAACACAAAATTCACTTACTTTCTGTTCCCGCTCAGCACGTTTGTACATTAATGTGATGAAATGTAAATCTGCCATTTCTGACTCAGTCTGTCGAGCTTCTATTAGGCGACTGATATACCTGTTTACTCTGGTGCCAGGGGTGTTGTGTATTACATTAGTTGAAAAGGATGTACGATTCCTTAGCTTTTCAGAAGCAGTTCTGAGTGCCCTTCTCTGTAGAAAAAAAGGTGGGAGAATACTGTATATTTTGCATATAAAATCTCAATTTGTTATTCCATGCTATGCACGTTGAATGTTCCTCCCTATATAGCATCAAGAAAACTCATTACCACATTTCAGAAAAGTATGTCCCACAAGGGATCTTAAGAGGGCACTTAAATTATGTACAGTTTTAAACGGTATGTGAATTACACAATTAATGGTATCAAAGAACTAGACTTGTCAGTAGCTTGAGTGTAAATCAAGCCTAAAATCAATTAAGTGGTAACCTAATAAAATCATAACTGCTGTTATTGTTAAACACTCTGAATGGAACCCATGCATACAGTACCTGCTATTTATCTTCAACGCCAAATCTAACAGCTGGGTGTGTTGGGCATCTTTAACTATAGCTTGTCTATATTGCACTTGAACAGCTACTGTACATGACAGAAGCAGTAAATGAGAGAAAGGAGGGACTGGCTTCTTGGTACATTTTTTCAGCACTGCCATGAGAGTAAACTGCCTCCAGCATCATTTTTAAAGTTTGTTGCTTCTTTCTTTCAATCTCAATAATTTTTTTGGCAAGACCTATGAATTGCATAACATTGTTGCCAAAACAATATAAATTTTAAAGGTATTTACAGACATTTGAGATGCTCAGTTCTGGTGTCATATGCCGTGACAGGAGGTCACATACTGGGTTGTGGCCTCTGCTGACTGGAAGCTGTTCTGATTCTGGCAGGTGTGGGAATTCTGGGATTAGATTCAAAATTCTTCCAGTAACTGTTTTAGGGCCTTGCTACTGTGCATAACTTTCACTTTAATAATTACTTCCTTTTGGTTTTTGGTAAGAAGGGATTCCATTCTTCCAAGTGTTCCTAGCTGGCCCCAACCTCAGAATAAGGAAACATTTACAAAATGAAACCCAAAGCTTTATTTAAATGAAAGCGAGCAAGTTAAATATGCCTATTACGTGTTGATCACCATTGCCTTGACACTCAATAACAAGCTTACTGCAAGTTGAACCATTGAATTTGGTTTTAAAATTCACTACTAAATCTAAACCTCTGATTTTTGTAGCCTTTTCAGTTGGAAACATACGGTATATTCATAGTTTGCAGTTTACAAGTCTTATCACCTACCTCTAGACTGCTTGGAACATTTTGTAAATTTAGGAATGATTTTTTCTTTTTGCATTCATTTTATCCAAGAAGCACAGAAATCCTGTCAGTCCTTAAAAGGTGGGTAGTTGGACTTAAAGCTGTGAGCCAGATTAGAAAGTAAGCCACAACAGGGATTTAACTCCATCAGCTTTGGAACATAAAATAAATACTTAACCGTTTAACAACATTATCACATAGATGGCTTTCTGGACAAAAGGAGGAATGATGCACACAAATACACATGTGGAATATAATGTAAGGTCGCTATTGATTGTTCACATTGATTTTACCTTGTCATCATCCTCGCAGGTCATGACGTTAGAAAAGGGAATCTCAGCTTTGAACATCTTTCTGCAGTGCATGAGCTGAACCAGCAAGTAGCAGACTGTTTTGAACTTCATCCTTTTAGCAGGCTTTATATCGGAGAGGATTAATCCAGGGAATATCTGTCAAAACAGAATAAAAGCTGTAATCAGTGTGTCGTGTAATGTGATTTCTAGGAATCGCCAGACTAAAGTTCTGTTTACTCATTTAACTTTTAAAATGTTTTTTACCCAAGTTTATTCTTGGGCACAGTGGTACGGTATCTATTGAAAAACAGTTTGTTATACAGCAGTTTTATTCTTGGAATGTGCAAGAAAAACAAACACAGTAACCCTCCTTTAATGCCAAATTAAGGTCATCTCAGACAATGTTTTTTAACTGTTATCACAAGAAGCACAACTGTGATTTTATTGCACTGCTATGCTTACAATACATCAACACAATATCAGCACCAAAGGGTACATGATAAGACTCCTATGACTTCTATGAAAACTTTTTTTTTTTCAAATTAGGACATTATAATAACACATAGGATTTGAATCCACTGAATCCTGGAAAATGTTCATATAGTTTCTACACTTCTAAAACCTCTCAACACCACCTTTGATCACGACCAATTAGCAGATGTCTTTCTGCCACTCCATTGCCAAGAGCATACACCATAGGTAAAGAAAAACAAAACGCCTTAAAGTACTCATGCAAAATAATCTAAGATACTGTGATGCAAGAGGAGTAAATATATTGATGCACAAAGAAACGCAACAGGTTGAACATATTTCATCAAACACATCAATAACTGAAATCAGAAAAATCCCTGAAAAACGCTACCGAAATGGAAGTATTGCAAAGTCGGTATCGAGTATGACATCTTTGAATGTGAACACAGTCCTGTCAGCACTGCTGCACAGATCGGTGCAAACGCTGGACTGACTGCAGTGGGATGTTCTGTCACTCCCCCTGTGTGGCTGCAGCAGAGGCCAGCCAGTTGCAGGTTTACCCAGGCATTTACTGTTGATAGCATTGGTGGGTTAGCTCCATGGTCAGCTGGAAAAAGTTGACTCTGGCAAGTTCTCTGGATTGTTTTCCTGAAGCCATGCCACTGCAATCTTAGCACTTAATGGCGTCCTACCAGAAATCCGACACTTCTGGAGTCATCTTTCAGTAACAGGAGAAATTCAAAGAGCTGACTTTCGACTCAAGCACTTGATTATTGACCCTCTGATCGTGCAGTAAGGTTGTCTTAAATCTGCCCCTAAGGCATCCTTGTGTTAAACAGATACCATCCCCGTATCAATATACAGTACAGTATGTCTGCTGCCCCTCTGATTGAACTGAAAAATGCTACAATCTGCACAGAGCTCACCACAGCCTTTCTACAGGTTGTCTCCTGTCTGCAAAATTGCATCATTGGTGCATAAAACACCCCAGAATTCCCTGAGCAGCTAGCTCAGGTGTTTTCTATCTTAACAGGATATCTTTTAAGATATTTCTATCTTAAAGGAACCAGGCTTCTTGAAATACACAGGCAACTATGTGATTAATTGCTTCTCCACCTAACATGCGTTCAGAGACAAAAGAGAAGCAAGGGTGCTGGTTTTAGTAGCAGAAAGTCTTATAAAGTGATTATAGATTTGAGTACAAATAAATGTATTTAACTCAAAGGAAAGCAATGTTCTAGGCTGCTGCGGGCCACTAACCACATAAATAGATTTCATGTCCTTGTCACTGAAGTAGAGAAACATAGCAGACGCTGGGAGAGCTGTTCATCGTTAACTGACTTTCCTGAGAATACAGTTCATCAAGAAGAATTCTTTGCAGTTACATAATCCATATATATTTCAACCCAAAGGATCTTAACCCAAATTACATATTGTGTGCGACCCATTTCTTCTAGCACTGAGGTGTCCCACCCACCTGGATGATGCTCGGCAGCCATTATGCGTCAATAACTCCAATACACCGCAGTTCAGTTAGAGATGAGTGAAATTACTTCACATATTGAATTGAGGGAGAAAGTTAGGTAAGAAAGATACTACGAGATGCTGTTTGTTGATCATCTTTGAAAGACCCCTAAACATGATGTTGCTTTCTTAAGTTCTAATAACAGCAGAACACATTTGTTTCTCATTTTAAAATTAGTAGATAGTTTTTACATTTGAGTTTAATTTTTAATTTTTGATATTCCTGTTTTTTTTTCCTTCAGTGTTATAGTGATCAGTTTAGACTATGTATGGATAAGTTGTGGCTTTCATTTCTTGGTTTGGGAGGTGACACTTTCCCATTTACAAAGCGATTAAGTGTGACAGTAATTATTTTTTCCCTGTTAATTCTGGTAACTACTATAGTAGTGAAAGTGGCCAGCTAATTGTGACTAAAGTGTGTTATCACATTCATATGAGAACCATAATGATCACTTATGTAAAACACTTAACACGTTGCGACGCTTTTTGTTTCTCTTTTGGATGTCACTGGAATTGACTCTCATGAGAATAGGAAGTTGAGAAGTAGGACCCAGTCCACTTACACAGAGATGATGTTAACAAAACTATTAAACCATCACCTAACACATTCATGCTCCATGTTTCATCATCATTATTAGCTTTGGAGGAAATGTTTTATTTTTGTTTTCAGTAGCTAATAATTTGCTGCATGATTCACATCTGTTGGAAGCTCATTGATAATGGCTGGAGTGAGCCATCAGCGACTGCAGAATGCTACAGCAAAGGGTGAATCTGGAAATTGTCTCTTGAGAGACTTGAAGGACTCTGCTTGTGCAACTTGCTGCATAATCATCAACCCCTTTCCAGCTTTATCTTTCAAGAGCTGAGAGCGAGTGTGTCGATATTCCTCAAACTGAAAACTGACTTCAGTGTGAGCAGTGTGAAGACACAGCTGGCGCAAAAACCAGCAGACCAGGGCTTGGGACCACTGCCTCAGCCACTTCCGCAGGCCGTCGTCTGGTCCTAGGCTGTTCTCTTTCTAGACAGGCCCTATTGGAGCCGTTATTTGTTGATAAGCTTACAGTAGATTTTAGAGAAATGTTTGTCTTCTTTGATTTGTAATTTTCTGTCTTTATGCAAGGACTATTGGCTTTTTTCTTTTAAAAAAAAAGACGAATCACTGTACTGTACAGTATGTTGCTTCCATTTGAGTTGGTCTCATTGGATTATCCAGCTGAATGGAGAGTTGGGAAGGGGATTTATGGTGGCCCTTAAATATTAAAAACCCTGGTTTCCTTACCTTTCGTCGATGAGATGGCACAATAAAAAAGGTTTCAATGTCGTGTTTCTGAAGAAAGCTGTTTCTTTCATGGCCATATCCTGGCTCTACTTCATAGTCGCCATTGAGGCACTCCAGAGTGGTTTTTGTGATATGAACCTTCCTATGAGGAGGTGGAGAGGAGAAAATCTCTCAGTATGGTATTATTTTAAGACAACATAACATTTGAGCACAACTCTCTATGTAGCACTACCTAACTGATAAGATAAAATAATCTTTGACTGGAGGTCATCAATACCCTAATAATAATGAATACTATTCATTGTCACCAGTTACCAGTCACCAGTTTCACCTATTTATTTTCAGCAGTCCACTGTACGGCACAGTATCAAGAACAATAGCAATTACACAAACATACTAATTGTAACGGAACAGTTCTTTCCAGACCCTATCTGGGCGACACAATCCGGGTTAGAGTGAGAAAACCCGGGGGGAAAGTCTTGCAGGAGACGGGAATGAAGACGGGGCGTGTCCTTGGTGCGCTGGTGTACGGAGAAGGTGTGGCCGAGGCAAACAATCCAAAGAATAAGTCCATAGGCGAATCCAAAAACGAAAGTCCATGGCCAGGTGATCCATCCAAAACGAAGGATTAAAAACAGGAACCGGGTCGGAACCGGTGAGGGGAACAGGAACAGGCATAGAAACTTAAAAACATAATGGAGCCAGGCGCAACCAGGTCCCGGGCTCGCACAATATGGGAATCAGATGCAGAGCCCGGATTAACGTCAGCGCCTGGCTTTTAAGGGGGACTGGAAGGAGGCGAGAACAAGGAACAGGTGCGGGGAATGAGGCAAACAAGGAAGAACTGGCGCCCTTAAGGGGGAGGGACTACAATCATGACACTAATAATACTGGTTCATTTCTATCAGAGTCATGTTGCTAAATTTAAGTGTGTTTTAGCTTGTTAACATCACGCTATTTCTGATTAATGTTTCTTTTTCCATTGATTCTGCTGATGGACTTTTGGTATGTTTCTTTTACTGAATATCGTGTATCCGAGACAGCACCTCTCTGTTGGAACAACTAACTTTATAGAAAAAGTAATGTGAACAGTATATATATACAAATCATCTTGTACAGTGAAACCTAGAAGGTTATGTTAGGAGTACATACCTTATTAATGGACAGTATTGTAATTAAAGGTCTACATATTTTTCAATATAATGTTGAATCATTGATGAGCTTTCAGCCCTCAGGAACAGTTTTACGGGGGTTGGGGGGGGATACAGGTTGTTCTTTTAATATTGAATACTGGGTACAGATCCTTTCAAATCGCAGATGTGCTCAAGAAGAGTGTGGACTTTCGCTTCTCTGTTAAACGTGTGGAGTACTCCGAATGCAGAGACTTACCCAGGCAGTCCACCAGCTTCCATTACATTGGCCAGTGTGACGTCATTGGACCAGACATCGTACTGCCACTTGCGGAGCCCCAGGACACCACAGAGAACTCTGCCTGTGTGAAGCCCAACCCTCATGTTCAGATCCACTTCTGTGGCCTCGGCAACAGACCTGGATGATACCGGCAACGACATGTGGCAGAGAATTCAGGATCATGGCCCAGGTTTACTTTGAAATGTTGTGCGAGCTGCTGCAATTCATCCTTTCACAACATATGTTAAAAAACACACAGACAGTATTATAGCAATTCATACTGCTTAACATGAGAAGGAAAATGTAAGTAATCCAATGGAAATAGTGCATTAATTGTTTCATTCTGTTTGCGAGAATACCTTAAGATTGGCAAAAATATGTTGAAATAACAGTACCAAATTTACCTTTACATTCCACTCTTATTGTTTTTTTTTATTTCTGACTGACACTGAACGCTGACAGCACAGATAACACATGTAAGATGGAGCTCATTAGTTTGTGACAAGCAGGCTTTTAAACCTTTAATCTCTTTTGTTTAGCTTTCAGGACAGTGACCTGCATAGTCTTAGTTTCACATGGCAGCCAAGTCCTGGACAGAAAAATACTATTTATTTATTTATTTATTTATTTATTTATTTATTTATAATGAGTCATCGCATATAGCCATGCACTGTGGGGTAAAATACTCTTTAAAAAGCGAAGCAATTAGAGGAATTTTAAGCAATACGTGAAAAGCCACACCAAAATTTCACAGAATAGTATTAGACATAAAACAAGTCCAGGATGTCTTGTGTTGATCTGAACACAAAAGGAAGGCAACATCCACTCATTCATTTGCATTAACCGCTTCGTCTTTAGAGGGTCGTGGTGAGGTGGAGCCTGACTTGGCAGGACATAGGCATGGTACCACACACAAGAGTGCTCAATCCACGTTTCAGTGTGTATCCTGCTCTGCAGCAAGTTAGAAGCCCAGAATCCACAGACCTCGGGTTAAGAGTTAACAGCTACTGTACAGTATAGGGAGTTGGACAGTGGTCATGGAAAAGGTTTTTAAAATAACCCGCAGCTTGATTATTCGGTGAATTATCTGTGAGCATGAGAAACTTGAAATAAAGTTTTTAAAATAATAAAATAAGCCAAGGCTTCACTCTAATTATACACCACTGTTTTAGAAATACCAATCCAGTCAACTAGCAACAAGATATCTCAGGTTGAGCTCATGACCTCTCAGTCACAAGGCCAAATCTGTGCTCAGAAAGAGTTCCTTTGCTGGTTCAGACCCTCAGAGGCGCACACTTCCATTTTTTTAATCCTCTGCCCACAAAGAAACATACATACAATAAATACATCTTGTGAGTTATTTTTATAGGTTTTGTGTCTAATGCTATTCTGTGAAATTTTGGTGTGCCTTTTCACGTATTGCTTAAAATTCATCTAATTGCTTCATTTTTTAAAGATTATTTTACCCCCTAGTGCATGGCTATAAGCTATGACTCATTAAACCATTGCGACCTGTCCCTGTACACATCTTTTTTACAAGGAAGTCGTGAGCACCAAATACTCAATACTCTTTTACTCTCTAGTTACATCACATTATTAAACTCATTTTTAGTTTTACTGTTTTAGAATTAGTATTGATTGCATTGAAGTTAAACATAAACTGAGCCTGCTTACACGTTCATCATTAATTTATACCAGGAATGCACTGGTTCTCCCATAGCAAAGCAGTTGAGACCCAGGAGTGATTGCGCTGGAATGTTTATTAAAAAATAAATAGAAAAATACTGTGTCTTCATCCAGAGAGATATTTATAAACACGCAGAACCTCAAATGCTATATACTGTACAGCTGTGTGTCAGTGTGCATGAAATGAAGAGACAGGGAAAGAAACACCGATAGAGAATTTATAAATGAGATGATTTTAAAATGAAATATTTTCATAGCTGTCAAATTTAAAGAGGATCTAAGTCAGCCTGTCCAATTTAATTTTAGCTCACAGTAGAATGTCAGCCTAGAAGCCTGGAAACAGACACACCATGCGTCATTTTGAGGAAAAAGAAGGGCGGAACAGTTCTGAAGACATGATTACCACACAGATATGCATTAGGTAAATATGGTTGTCAAAGATCATGTCTAGCAAGCAGGACTTCCAATTAAACAAGACTGCAGACATTATTTCATTGTCAAGCCTCCTCTGTACACAAGAAAGATACTTCATACAGAGGGCCAAGAGAAGGCTTGTGAACCCCCAGTGATTTGTCTGTACTCATATATTGTAGACCTAAAACATAATTAGATATTAATAAAAACTATATATAAATGATGAAGATAACCTCATCTTTTTTAAGACTTTCATGAACATCTAATTATGTTTTAGGTCTAAAATATACAAAAAAGTATACAGCAGATTACCAGTGGACACATTTTTACATAGACATGGTCATCTACCTCTACTTGGAATAGCTTAAGAACTATCGTGGTGACAAGATTCATAATTTATTTTTCCTTCTTATTTTCCATGCATTGCATTGCAGAACAGAAAATTATGAAATGAGACTGGGTTGCGTATCACAAAACAGTTGTGTTCTACATTTCAGCTAGCATTTATATTTAGAATCAGAGTTTTTCTTTTTTTAAGGAGCTGATATGCTGTTTTTGAAAGTTGCTTTTTTGAGAGACAGCTAACAAAAGCAATGTGTGGGTGTACTTTATTCTTTTGGCCATTATCTTTTTGATAGCTGAGCTGAAAGCAATCGAATGCAATTTTAAGCAACACTAGACACAGTTATTTCCCCCAGAAGCCATATTTTCTTCTTAAAGCCTTATGCTGTGCAGTGTACCTTGAATTGTATTCTATAAACTGTGCATTATATTCATAAATATTTTCTGTACGGAGGTGCAAAGGCATTCAATACATTTCTAAGCAAGCAAGAGCAACTTATGTTTAGAAACTCAAAACTCTCTCACCATGACCTTCATGCTGTGAAGTGTACATGGGCAAGTCTGGTTTGATAAGTAAAGAGCATGATATATTTATAGGTGAAAATTGACTAAGGCTGAAAGGTCTAACTCAAAGCCCCACGTCTGAAATCCATGTCAAAGATGCGCAAGATTGCAATAAAAGAACTACTGACTTGGAGTAAAAGTCATACTACTTACCAGCAAGAAACCAATGACCACGGACAAGGTCTCACCACAAGCACTGATACTAGTGACACAGAGTTTGATCTTACAGTATGTAAACGAATGATTTCCATGAAGACTCATTTCAACCGATTTATCTTTTCGACTCAACACAGCAGTCCCATTTTACTTCCGAGAGGTGAATGGGACTGAGGCACTATGCCGCAGTGCACGACTACACTTACAATTGTTACTATTATTAGTATTATGTAAACGCAATTATTATTCTTACCGTATTATGTCTAAAAAACGAGCATCCAAATAGCCATTTGGAAATTGTTGCCACCAACAAAAATTTCATACAGGAATTTTCATTCATTGTAATGTTTCAGAAATGGTTCCGAAGGACCCATGTGAATACTAATTGATGTATATAGTATAGTAGTTCTTGTAATGCACCTTTACCATCTACAGTACAGTATCCACCCTCAAATGAGTTGATGCAGGAGGTGGAATAGTCCAGATGTAAAATTTGAACTATAATAATGTGTGGAATACATTACTAACTTGTGAGAGACAGAGTGAAGTATCGAATGAACAAGCGAGGAGTACAGTATGTATCATTTTAAATACAAATCTGGAAATATATACTGCATAGCGAAGCAAATACTGTACATTTCGGATTTCAGTGGTGCATTTGAAAAAAAAATGAAGTGGTAGAACATGGGATTTCTCATCTGTTGTTGGTTTATTGATGGTTATTTTGCAGTGTAGTTACTCTCCCACAAAATAAACATATGCTAAAAAATCATGGGTTCATTGCCTTTAAAAACATAATCTGCAAAGCCAATAAGTTTAAAAAAAATGTTTTTTTTTTCAGCTAGGTAGAAAAATGATCTCCTCCTGTAAAACAGTTTTAGGGACCTGTTTTTTAAGTTACAAATAGCCTCCTCCAGCTATTCCTCTTAAATAACACGTTATGTGAAAAAAGCCACCCTTCTTCTTGGCTTGTATGTGTGCTTTAAGGAGATAAGGTACAGTAGGATGACTACTTTGTATTTTAAAGACTTTTCTTCATCCGTCCTCTACAGCCTGTGTGCAATGCTGTGTGCATAAGAAGCAAGCTTAAACAAACTGGGAAATCTGAACACCATCCTTCAAGGAAGGATTTCGGGAACCAGAAATGAACTTTAAATACTTGCCAAATACCATGTTTGATTAGAAAGACATAAAAAGTTACATCTACCTAAGTATGGAACCCTATTGTTACTACGGAACATTTAATATTACACTGGAAACAATAACCTAATCTGCATTACTCGTGATATAAAATAGTAAATGAATAGATAACGCAGGTATCTTTGACACAGAAGTCAGCAGGAAGGCAATCTCAAGCTGCTGATTATATTCTTGCAGTTCACACAGTGCCGTTTTCACAACCTACTACAAATCCAGGGCTTTGTACAATTTGAAATAAAAATAAATAAAATTAATTGGATTCACTTTTATCTGTACATCAAGCAAACAAATACATAATAATGATCTCTTTTATAGGACTTTCATTCTTGATTCTAGTGTGTTTTTTTTTAGTTGCACATAAAATCCACAGCACAAAACAAATCCCCTTCCCTAGACTGCTTTGAGATACAATGTATGATTCATATGCAACTGTTACAATGTAAATTTTAGAAGTCCCCATGTTTAGTCAACTACTGAAATTATGATCTGTACATACATCTAAGTAATGCTTAATACAGTCTACAGTATAATGCAAATAAAAATAATTTAAGTGTGAAAATGTACCACCATCCTGACCAATACCAGCGCTACGAGAAGTAGCACAGATTCATGGGAGCAGGTGTAGTCTTTTCTAAAACCAGCCAGTATAGCTCAAGAAGATACTCTTCCGCCGGTAAGCTGGTGGGAGATTGGATATAGAAAGAACATCTCCAAGATTCAGGGACAATAGGAAGAACGTGGACAGGTCATCATTCTCAATAACACACAGACGTGCACCAAATCGCAGACAAATCCTGCACAAAATCCTGCACCCAAAATATTTCTCAAGTCTCATTTGCTCTTTTTAACTATTCATTCATTATTCAGGAAAACGAATCCAGGGGAAAAATGTGTGCGCAACCATGCATCTGGGATAGTGTTAAAGAAATTGAACTCGGAAGTCGATGTCAGTAATTGATGTGTCTGTGCCACCGTAACAAGAATGTCAGATACAGTACAATGTAAATGGTATACAGCACTCTTTCACCAAACACCCTCCACCTCAGCTGTACTTCAGCAGATGAGTTGCAAAAACCGTGAAAGATATCACATTAAGAGGACAGAATGTGACCATATAAAACTGCTCAATTACGTTGTCTGTTTGAGCCTTTGCTCCCTTTTCTTACCAGGAGCTGTGCTTCAGAATCACCCAGTATTCAGGTCTGATTCTAGAGCATCAACACTTTTCCCTTTTGTTTTATTTAAATCACTACTACCAGACTTGCAGGGCTGGGGGGAAGGCACGACGAATTGGACTGTTTATGAATGTTTATTACTCAGTAGCCACCAGTGTTTAAAATTAACCTCAAAGTATTTTGAAATAAGCCAGCTGAGAAATGTTTCTGTTCTAATTATATGGCTTGTTGATACTGCAGAATAAAAAAAGCATCTATTGCAAATACATCTCAGTTCTTCAAATTAGGCAGGCGTCCTTGTACTGGCCTTTGTTCTTTTAATGTTTCCATCAAGACCTGCAGATCAAAAGAGCCGAATTGTTTCACCTTGTGTACTTCCTAATCTTTCATTTAACATGCTGAAGAGTATTCAGCTCAACACCTCCAGCCAATTTGGAAGACAAAGGGGCAGTTGTTGCTTTTTTGGGTTATGTGAAAAAAAGACCTGGGACTGAGTCAGTGATTCCTGCAATTTCTTCTGCTTCTCTTGTGTGTAAAGTGATAATGCACATGTACTGTACTGTACTTTCTTAAAGAAACACAGCATGCCAGTATGTACACAGTATGTATAAATCATGTCTGAGTACATAAAATGTGGTTTTTAGCGCAGTTACCATGCTGTCAAACCACCTGCAGAGAGATAATGATCTCTACCTGCATCTTAATACTATATTACATCATTCAAATAAAAATAATTAAAGTGTGAAAATGTAACACCATCCTGACCAACACTTCTATTTACAGAAACATGCCAGTATAGCTAAAGAAGATACACTTCCTCTGGTAAGCTGGTGGGAGACTGGGGGAATATGATTCATGGACAGTAGAAAGAAAGACAACAAATTGAGGAGAAGCATATCATATTCTAAACCACTTTTGCTTTCCCAAATGAATAATTTCAGAAAATATCAAACATAACATTATAGCATTCGTTCTATGAATTATATTAAACAAAAAGCCCCTCTTTTGTACAGGAAATGTTACTTTCAAAAGGACTATTTAAAGTAACTTAAGCCATTAATTAAAACTCATAAAATACATTTTTATCTATTAATAATTAATGTTGTTTACATGGAACATTTTAAAACAATAATCAGATACAATATTCATCAATTTTCCTTCAGGATCAATAAAGTCTTATCTATCTATCGCATTTCAATATATGAAGCACATTACATAAATTAATTAAATTATAGTTGATTTTCACTATTTCAGTACTTTTGAATGGTATAAATTCGGTAACAATGGCCAGTTTCATCCTGACATTTGCAGTAATAATAGCATCTACAGGTCAAAAGAGTGTAGAAGCTCAAAACTCACGTGATGGTATCGATCATGTCCAGTCCCATTTCTACACAGCAGTGAGCATGGTCTGTCTTGGGCTGGGTCAGTCCTGAAACGCAGTAATAACAGTCCCCAAGGATTTTGATTCTCCTGCAGTGATTTTCCTATGAAAAGAAAGATGTGCAAGTAAAAAAAACTCTCTAATATTGTGCTCCCTTCGTAAACAAATGCGTTATTTCATGTATGCAATTTACAAAGAGTCATGCTTAAGCAAACAGAATAAGGAATTAGATCTTTCCAGTTAAAAGATAAAGAAATTGCTCTGTCATTCATTAGAAACAGACATGTCTAAATAACCTCTTCCTGAAACCACATAGATCAAAAATAAAAAGGAAAGTTCAGAATTAAAATAAAACAGAAATAACATTAATAAATTAAGATACACATGATATAAATCTGTAAGAATATTTTTTATAGATACATAATGTACTGACATGGAGTTTTAAATTAATACAGAACAGCAAAAACTGAACAGGATGCCTCTGGAATACGTTAAGTTACCCCTAAAGCAGATGTGTGTACAGTATTCACTCGACTGTGTGTTAATATTGGTAACGTACTGGATGGCAGAAACCTCAGCATGCTAAGCAGCCATGAAACAGGAAGTTCAGATCAAAAGAGACATAGACAACCAAGCTGTTCTGCTTGGGAGAGCAGGGGTCATTCATGTGGGAGGGTCAGAGAACACATTTGTTGTCCTCAGGCTGTCAAGAGAATAAATTAAGAACGGAACTGCAATATTTTATGTGGCAGTAGGCCTTGAACCTCAGCAGTGTTTCAGATAGAGTAGAGTACAGTACTGTCTGTGTGCGAAATGGAATTCTAACCTAAGTTATAATAGTACCTGTCTGAGCTCCTCACATCCTACTTTCCACCTCACAACCTTCGCTCTTCTCATTCTGGTCTCCTATCGGTCCCCCCATCCCACCTACACTCTGCTGCGGCCCAAGGCTCTGGAACCCTCTCCCCAAGGATAACGGAGAGTCACCTTCCCTGAGCTCTTTCAAAACTCGAATGAGAACCTTCTTCTCCAGAGGGGCCTTAACTTAACTGCTTCTGTTTTACACCGTGCCCCTGTGCTCCTACCATGTTCCTTACCCGCATCCCCTGTCTCCTCCCATTGAGTTTTTTCATTGTGTTTACATTGTGTGTTTTTTTGTTGTTGTTGTCGTCGTTCTGTAAAGTGCTTTGAGAAGCCAGCTTGAAAGGTGCTATATAAAATAATGTTATTATTACTACAACTGCTACTATTATTATTATTGTATTCACAAGGAAGGTTAGATCCAGATTTTGCATACTGCTTCTTGCCAACGTGTATATATCTCGCACTTCCTTTGTCCTTCCTCTCTCGGCCTCCTCATCTACACCCTCGCAGCGAAAGCAAACTCCGTAGCTTACTCCCCTCAATGGTGAGGGGGGCTCGGACCATCAGTCCGCAGCTAGAAGAGTCTCACCAGATACTCTCCACATATTCAACTTCTTTTGCTTTCGTTAAGGTCTAACCGAACTACTGAAATATACAGTAGGTTTGAAACGGTGAGGAACATAAGAACATTACAAAAGTTTACAATCAGGAGGAAGCTGTTTGACCCGTCTCTCGGTTTCAATAACGTTGCCGGGCAGCGTGTCCCACACAACCCTTTGTGTAAAGTGCCTCCTGTTCTCAGATTTAACTTCCATGTTCTCAAAAATATTGCTACCGCTGATAACATTCATGATTTGAAAGCTGTAACTTTTGTGTTGTATTACTACAATTGTTTAATGGTGTTCGGCTGCCTGTGACAAACTTATGCAGACACAGCAGCACAGCAGTAGTTCCACATCTTGCCACGACCAGAAAATACTTCAGACCGAGGCCTTTTGTTGATCCACGCATCTAGGAAGGACACTAGGCTCAAGGAAAGCACACACGATGTGTTTGGAAAACAAACTCTCCGGAGTGACAAACTGCAGTATCTGCAGCTGCTCTGGGCCAAACTGGCATTGTCAGCAACTGTTCTGCCAGATGCCTCGAAGCTTTTAACCCCCGGAATCAAGTCGAGAGCTTGTGTTAATACAGACAACAGACAGGATGGAAGCTTTTCCCTTTGTTCTCATCACTCCCGAGTCCTTCAGAGGGAAGAACTGCTGTAGAAGCTGATTGCTTAATACAAACTGTATATTGCTAATATCATTTTACTTACAGCGCTATTGTCTCAGCGGGGCTGATTGTCTGTTTTTCCATGAAACCACTTATTTTAATATAACAGCCAATAATATTCAAGCAGTTTGGGTTGAAGAAGTCAAGTTGATTCACTGCAACCTCTGAAGTACCGCTTGCTCGGGTGAAGAAGTGTCGTTCAGTAAACTCAGAGAGCAATGTTGACAGATGTGTGTCTAGGGCAATTGAGTTCTTGCAGTTTGTGCTCAGGAATGAAATCAGATCAACAGGTCTGTTCATATTGTAATACATACAATATCGTTATCCAATGTATGATGAAACTGTTGCTTACTGAGCTTTGTTATTCTGGTCACTGTTTGACAGTAATCATATAGTATTTCCAGTGGGAAGAAAATCCTTTGCTTTGCTGTGAAAACCCCATCTTCTGGGGCCTGACTGTTACATGATTTTCTGAAGAAAAATAGGATTTGCACCTCATCAGCATGCCCCACAACTCTCTGCTTGGGAATGCGCTGATACTCTTTCAAATACAGCCTCTGTGGCTGTCTTGCCTGCAGAAGGCAAAGGACAGCACTGCTGAATGAGAAAAAGCAGCCGACGGCTGGTGACTTTTAATTATTACAGCTTACGTGGAAGTGAGGCCCTTCATAATCAGGCTAAGCTGGATTGAATTGTAACTGGAAAGAAGGTGAAAAGGACGAATTAAGAAACTTCAGCTGATGAGTATGGGTACAAAGTTTAAGAAGGTTCACCGGCTGCCAGAACGACCCATAGAAGTTAGTGAGGGGGGCCAGGAAATTATACAAAAATATAGGGAAGATTTTTCTTTTCATCTGACATGCATGTTGAGAACTTTGATTCCTATGGTATGAAGTTAAGCTGTCACATTATTTCTGTATTTTCAGATGTTCTTATCCATGACCCCAACTCAACATTTATTGAATGGAATCAATCGCTCTAGTCTTATTGGCTGTAAGGGAATTTGTCATGTACTGTACACCAGGAGCTCATAAACATGACAAAAGTGCAATACAACAACAGGACAATACCATAAAACCAGTGTCAGACAAAGCCTTTGACACAAGGGTTCTTCGTTGTAAAACAAATGTGCTCCCAGAAACTATTGAGTCTATCCAGCATTGCTGTCAGTTCCCTCTTGGGTCTCTGTTTCTTGGGTTGGAATGGCTCAGTGGCTTCAGTGTCAGACAAAACCTTTGACACTCGAGTTCTTTGAGAGGTTGGCGGATATTGAGGTGGATGCTAGACCTGGAAACACACCCTGGCCCACACACCCTGTACTGGATGTGATGCAATAATAAAGCCGTCTGAAAATGAGTGGATGGTAGTAACATTTAAGTCAATGTAAATTTAATCATTTATGCTTAAATGGCATCTACAAGGTGCACACATTCCTCAAAGATTTGTTTTTTTTCCAGGGGTGTGGGGGGTAGGATTATTAACTGATTTTTCATTTACATGAAGATATCTGGAACGTACAGAAGCAAATGAATCAGCCAAGATGTCCGGGGTTTACAGCAAAATGTAAAAAAGGTATTTATTTTAAACTGTTGCATTTGCAAAGCATCATATAACTCGGAAAGCCATATCCCTTCATGGGGAATTGTTTCAATTTAAAATATAAAGCTTGTCAAACATATTCACATTAAACAGTCCCATCTCAAACATACTGTACGTTAAAAACACATGCATATACAATAAAAACCCATAAAAGGCTCATCCCCAGGCAGCCAGATCGGATAAATATACCGTAATGACACAGTGCACAAATGCAAAGCTACTGAAAACATTTATCTCTGCAGACATATGATTATAAGGTTTTTATCATTCAAAAAGCAAGCATCGGGTAATCCAGCTATACAAGATATATTGTGTTTTTCAAAGTAAATCATTTTTTAATGTTCATAATGATAAATTACATCACACTCAGAGAAATGGTAAAAATGTGTGAATGCAGACTTTTGAGACATGCAGCTATTAGTTATTTTGAAAAGAACCGATATGTAAGAGTGCCAGTGTTAGCTGATGCCATTAATAGTCTGTTGTATACTGTGGCTCGTAACAAATGTATTATATCCTTTGTGACAGAGCAGTGTCCCCAGCTCCCCCAGCTGGGAGCGTTTAGCTTTCTCTACTACTGCAGGAACTGAGGCACTAAACCCAGGAATATACATCAATCTGGTCATTCAGGTGCTTTTGTTTACAAAGAGCAAAAAAGCATATAATTGAAAAATAAAATTTAAAATATTTCTTCTGTCTTTGGAGGCGTAGCTATTCTATAACAAAGACATGTCTGTCTAAAGGGTTTGGATAGCTAATCCATATCCTACATTTTCTTGGACAAACATTCAGGTCCCTTTCAAAGACATTCATTTTTCTTCACAAAAGAAGAGGAGATTTAAATGGATTCGGCACACTGAGCAGTGTCAAGAAGAAGAAGACTTAATGCACGTGTTTGCCACACGTACAGTACCTAATCTGAAGTGGAACACTTCTCACAGACAGCTGTGGCTAATGACCTCAGGGAACTATGCAGTTGGCCATTGTCAGGGCCAGCTGGGAAATGTAGTCCATGCTATTTCCAATGTACCACAAGAACTACATCATCTTAGTCACAAGGTTAAAGAGCAGGGGTCTCGAACTCTGTTCCTGGTGGGCCTTCATTTCTTCTGGCTTTTGTTCCAACCTGTGTAGTCAATTAACAATTAATCTTATTTTCTAAATTAGACATCTACAGCAGTTGTCCTAAGGTCCTTACAGTTAATTACTCAAGACATTCACTTCATTAAGGGTACAAGTGCTTATAAATCACCTTGGAGGCTGGTTAGATTTATTACAGGTTTGCTGTTAATTAAATGATTTAGACCATCTATGCAACACGGGTGGAGCAGGAGTCAGAAGATATTAGGACCTCCAGGAACTGAG